CACTTCAGGTTTTCATTATCTCTTAACTTTGGTCAGCTCCTAACCAGTTTACCTGGCCTTCACCGAGTCCTTAATTCAGTGTTTCTCAAACCTCCACGCGCATAGAAATCACCTGGAGTGAAATGCAGATTCCAATTCTGGAGGTGTGGGAAAGGCTGAGTCTGCATTTTTAACAAGCTCGCAAAGGCTGCTTCTGCGCCTGGTCTTTGAATAGCAAAGAGCTCTCCCCTATGCAGTTTTGTAATGCCTACTGTGTGCCAAGTTCTCAAGAAACATGGAAGAGAGGGAGAGGGAAGGAGGTTAACAAAGTCTGAAGTAACCAGAAATGAAATGAGATGGGCGTGGATTCCAGCGGTGACATCTGATAGTATCACTATAATATTATTTACTCTTCACAAAGCTAAAGGGCAATTACCTTCCCAAAATTAAAAAGGCTTTCAAAAACATTTTTGAGTTATTTGATAAACCGTTTAGTGCCTCACTGCAGAGGGCCTTGCTTCTGTGGGATTCTCTGACATCACTCTTAACTTCCATTGCCAGTGATAATGACTTCTGAAGCCTGAAGTATATAACAGGATCATTCAGCTTAATTGTCATGAGAACATCTATCTCTGGTAGATAATGGCATGTGTGAAAATACTCTTTGACATGAAATTTAAATGTTTATTATCAACTATGATGTTTCCTAACTTTTAACCATTGCATTTGTATCTTTCCAGCATCAATTGCTACAAATCTATTGGGAATACAGTAGTTTCCCCTTATCCTTGGGGGATACATTCCAAGATCCTAGTGGATGCCCGAAACCATGAATAGTACTGAACACTATATATACTATGCACAAGCTTCTTTTTACTTCTTCACAGTTTCATAGATAAATTGTTCTTACCCTAGATTTTAGCAACCTCAGCATACAATTTTTTACTTTCTTTATTGTGAAGAACTTTTACCTTTTCACTTAAAGGAAGCACTTTGTGGCCTTTCTTTGACATTTCCAAATTGCCAGCATCACTACTCTTGCATTTTGGGGCCATTATTAAGCCAAATAAGGGTTACTTGAACACAAACACTGCTGTACCATTACAGTGGATCTGGCAATCCAGGTGGCTACTAAGTGATTCACAGGGAGGTGGTGTAGACAATGTGGATGGACAATCAACCCTGGACAAAGGGATGATTCATATCCGGGTCAGGTCAGAGTGAGACAGTGTGACATTTCATCATGCCATTCAGAACAGTGTGCAATTTAAAATGGATGAATTGCTTATTTCTGCAATTTTCCATTTATTATTTTTGGTCTGCGGTTGACCACAGTTAACTGAGACCTACAGTAACTGAAACCCCAGAAGGTGAAACTGTGGATAAGGAGGAACTACTGTAGAGTGCAATGACATATAAAATACAAAGGGAAAAACTCAGTCACCAGAGGACTGAAATATGTTTTGGAAATTTTATTCTCATATTAGCCCCTCAAAACTGGAGACAGATCTGTAAACCAACAATTACTGTACAGAGTGACTAATGCTTTAATAGCAGGATATGCAGGGTATTGTGGAAACATAGCAAAGAGACACCGAATGCATCCTAGGGTTGCAGAATCTTCAGGGAAGAATAAAAGCTGCCTGGGGGACCAGGAGTGTGAGAGACCCAAGGATAAGTGCACAGCATGAGCAAATGCAGGGAGGCATGCCGTGCTGTTTAACAAAGAGGGCTCTGGCAAAGGAAGCGGGACGGATGGATGGAAAGGAAAAAAGCAAGACTCATAAATGAACCTGTCTATTAACTCAGGTGCATTAACGTTGTGAGGATCCTGATTAGAAAACGGTGGGCAATTTCTAATGAGCAAATGATTTATATTCCCTCCATAATATACCAATGTTTCCCAATTCTTACTGTGGAAAAAGCACATCTGCACATTCTAGCTTCTAAACTGCATCCACATTCAGAGTTATGCCTGAGCATGTTCACAGAAAGTATTTGGAATTTTTATAAGTGCGTCTTTGATGTGATTTTTATGAGCAGTGTTAATTTCTTTCCACATGAATAGCTTTAATAATGCTGCAATCTAAATCCTGTTTAAATTAGTTTATATTGTTTTCTGCCTTCTCAGTGATCTTTCCACTGAATACAAAATTGAATTTACAGTTGAGTATTGAAAATGACCGCTCCCAATATCCTCCTGTAGCCATCCAGAGGGAGTTACTGGCTTAGTCTTAATTAATATAAATTAAAGTCACTTCTTACATGGCAACAAATATTGACTGGAGTTATCAAGCATGCCTTAACTAATGTTTTTTTAATTTAATTTGAATGTCAGTACATCAATCATATATCGGCCTGTCAGTTTCAGAAAGTTCAGAAATGAAGATGAAATTGGGAGTCTATGAAACTATATTCCTCTTCTAGGCTAATGGAATTCTGCCTCCTAGTACTTGTTAACATGCTAGAAAATCTCTTGGCTACTTACTTTTGAAAGCGTGTATTTTCAGTGGCTTAATCCTAAGCATATTGTTTCCTCTTTCTGAAACTATAATCTGCAGATGAATGTATTGTGCTCTAGGTCTAGGTGTGACGAGCAATAAAATGTGGCTTTCAGACCATTTGAGCAAACATACGTTTTTAAAATTGAAGTGTTTTTTTCCTGATAGTAAAGTTAGTCTATTTATGAACTAAGCCACCACGAGCAAGAGAAGGAAAAACTACCTGTATATGAGAGAAAGAGAAGAACAGCATTACACTCTGTCCCTGTAAAGCTCATAACAAAAATGTTAAGGATTTTTCTTTCTCTGTGTTATGTAGACATGAAACTCATAGCAAAGGGGAAAAAATAGTACATGAAATCAGTGTTCTCTTTTTCTGTTGTTATCTTTTCAGAGGAAAAAAAAAAGATTTCTTCTGAGCATTAAGTTTATTTCCGCTGTCTTTGCTGAGGTCCATTCTCCTAACATATATTGGTGGGAAGAGAGGTAGAGAGTGTGGAGGGAGGCAAAATTTATTCCGCCAGTAACGGTGGCAGTGGGCCTCTCACAAACATAATGTTAAATTATGGGCCTCTCCATGGACTGAACGTAATGTTAAGTTGTGCGATGGATTTTATCTTATACAAGCCGCTTCGGTCCATGAAATGAGATAAGAAACCATTGCAGCTGGAGTTCACTGAGGGTTGAACTTAGACTGAAATTCCCGAGTTAACAAAATGGTATAAGCGGCTACAATACTCAGTAAGTGTGTTCTGTGCCTATGGGTTGAGATTTTCAAGGCAACTTGAGTCTGTCATTCACAGGGTGTTTTGTGAGCACTCCCAGGCCAGTTGTCTCCTCTGGTTAAAGTGTGAGGGCAGGGGGGCAGGTTCGCTCAGAAAAAAAGCTTTGATCCCCCAATCTAGAAGGCCGCTGTGCAGCAGGAGAGGGCTTAGAATGGTGGCTGAGCATGGGCACATCCCTAAAAGCTGCTTTCTTCCCTGGGGAAGGCAGAGCTCAACCGCAGGACCTTGAATTAGGCTCAGCCCTACCTTCTTTCAGGACACGCACCTCCTGGCAAGCAGCAGCCATACTAAGGAAGCTGTACTGGTCTGGGAGGAGGTCTTTGGGAGAAAAGACACTAAAGATGTTTGTAAAGCACCCTATAAATTTACAAAGCATTCAATGGTGGGAAGGTTTCGTATGATGTGTAAAATACTAATAAGAACTCAATGATTGATTTTAAAATCTGCTGAGTGAAATGAAATCTTTTTCTCAAGTATGAATCTCCCCCTGTCTATTCGTGTGGACTGTATGTATGTTTATATGCAAACAATACATAAGGATGTCTCCGATGCCCCCCCAGTGGAGGGGACAATGCCTGGCACACAGTAGACCCTCAGTATTTTTTAAACGAATGGGTAAGAATCTGAATCTTTCAATCTAATTTTGCTCCTGAGTTTTAGAATTCAGAGTCTACCTAGTTTACTTGTAAAAATGTAGGATATTTTCCCCTAAAGCACATTTTCTAGGGATTGCAGAATACAAATGAAAGGATTCTCCCCTCAGGTTTGCCTGGAAAGTAGGCAGTGAGCCTTCAGCAGTAGTCAGATCGATTAATGTTGTAACAGCTGACATACAACTTCCAGTTCTAATTAACTTAATCACCCACAAACTTCCTTTTTCTCCACCTCCAAGCCACACAACACAGGTTTGTTCAGTAACCATTCCCAAATAGGCAAGTCTGTTTTCTTTGAAATAGAATTTATCACTTATTTTCAGGTGGAACTGCATTTCCTACTTCCTGTCCCCCCCACCCCCGACACCACACACACACATCTCAAACCGGGTTCAAATGGGCTTTCCATAGCAATCCAAAGCAAACACTGAACACCTCGGGAAACATGTTCTCTTTTGTGGAAAACTAGGAAATATTCTGTTTTTCAGCCTAATTAAATATATGGTATTAGCCCTAAAATGGAATTCGTTTTGAACTACAGTAGAACAAGAATTGACTTATTCCTACTACCTGCCTTAGGGATAGTACCATACATTACAACCAGTTTTAAAGTAATCCAATCTTTCTTCCACATTTTAACACTAACTCAGCTGATTCTATAAATCAGAAAACTGGTAACACTGTGTCATATTTTTGTTAAAGGAACAAAGAAGTGAAGTAGAGACCAAGTAGGTTAATAACAGTTTTTCAAGTCCATCTTAAGAAAGAGAAAACAAGGTTTGGTGGAAGAATTAGGCTGTACCTTATTCCTAAGAATGCCCAGAACGAATCTCCTATAGCTGAGCTCATGGAGTTGATAGATGAGAATGTGAACCTCCTGAGTGGTTCTCTGGTGCCCTGAAGTTAGATGACAAAAGAGAAATTAAGTGATTATATGGCAGTCAGTCTCAGGAAAGCTAATTTGTTGAGTTCTGAAAATATATCCACTAGGTTGGACTATGCTCTGTCTTTTGAGAGGAATACGAATCAAGTGTATTTTCTCTTGTTGGCATGATTTGTACTTGGTGGTTTTCCATTTCCAGATGATAGCAAGTTTTCAGAGGCGATCACAGTGCTGCTTTCCTGGATTGAACGAGGGGAGGTGAATCGGCGTTCCGCAAACCAGTTCTATTCCATGGTGCAGTCGGCCAACAGCCACGTCCGCCGGCTCATGAATGAAAAAGCCACACATGAGCAGGAGATGGAGGAAGCCAAGGAGAATTTCAAAAATGCCTTAACTGGGATTCTCACTCAATGTAAGTAAAATGTTGGGGGCCATCTCTTTTGTTGTGATTTGGCTTTTCTTTTTGATTAATTTTATTTTTTCATTGGGGGTAAGTAGTTCAATAATCTCCCATTTTTACTCCACATTGAATGGCAAACCTCATAACCTATTTCATGTTCTGTGGCACCTTGGAGGAACATGGACCCTGCCCTGAGAGTTTACTTCTCAAGGTGAGCAACGTTTCTGTAGCTTTTCCTCAGAACAGCAAGCCTGGCCACCAGGGCAGGGCAGCTAGATGCATCTGTGCCTGCTGGACCCACCACAGTTCATATCATAGCTGCAGGGCCGCCACCCTTCACCCGCGGGCTGTCCACACAGCCCCCTGTGTCCTCCTAGTGCTGACAGCAGAAAGCAAACTTGAACACGTTCTCCTTGGGCTCTGTGTAGGAAAAGGGTACTATCAGAAAAACTCCTCAGGATCTTTTATTTGGGTGAGCTGTGGCTGTCAAAATGAGCAACTCAAGAGCAGGGATTTTTTTTGTCCTTTCTTCATTTGGAAAGCAAATTGCCTTAACTACTTAATGCCAGTGATTTTTTTTTTATGTCCAGAGTCTAAATGATGAAGGGGTGTAAATGGGGCTTTCTCTTAGAACAATAGTCAGGGTAATTACCCAGGGCTCTATTCAAAAAAAGGGCGTATTTTTTTTTATGGGCACTCTATCTGTGTCTGTAGTTAATGTCACAGCGGCATCATGCATCACAGCTGCCGATGTTCTCTTGCTTGGTAAAAGCCATTGAATGACACTGTAACAATGCCACGCTCCATTCCATACCAGGTGCAGGGCCCTACGCGATAGTGACATGTGGGATGTATATTTCCATTCTGAAGATAAGTACTATTTTCTGTGATGTAGTGTGCCAAAATGCCTATCACCTCTTTCATCAGTGCAAACACAAGGAATAATGTATCTGTCAGGATGGGATGGAAGAGAGGGCAAAACCGAGATCTTAAATGTAAAAGTATCTTATATGACTTTATCAAAAGACAGGTTTTACAGCAGCGTAGTATATCGTATAACAAATTCCCAAATGTAAATTCTGGTAAGTGATCTAATATCCAGTATAAGACCAATCTGTCTTTAAAGAAAAGGAATAGGAAAAATAAGACTGCTCTGTCCTTACACAGACTGATACCAGACCACATTACCTAGATTCACCAGGCTTGATGAATGACCCTTTCTTTAACAGTGTATGTCTAGAAACTCTAAGGTTATTAGGGATAGAATACAGAAAAGCAACATTAACAGCAGTTTTTAAAGGAGGGAAGGAAAGAATGGATCAGTGGATGGAGGGAAGGTAAGAGTGGACTGGTAGTGGAGAAAAATAAGAGAGAGCACAGTAAAACAATTCTAATCATACAATTTCTTCAGAGTTATAGTAAGAAGTCATGTGCCTGAACAGTGAAATGGTTACTGTATGTTTACCTTTTGCTCACTGGCATCAATTTTAAATAAGTTCTAATTCCCATGCAGTTTATAGTCCCAACGGGCAAGGAAGACTCAACCCTTGACTCTAACAATAAAGATAAGAGGGCAGCCATGAATAGGCGAGAACTTCATTTTCTTTGGCAGTAACTATTGAAAGAGGCACCTATTACAATGAGGCCCCTATGATGTGGCTGAAAGAACACGAAATGTCTACCTGTCATTATATAGGTGTCAGTTGGCCCATATTTGAAGCAACTGAGAGATGGACAGAAAAGTGTAGCATGTGGGACTACAAATACTTTTTGGTATAACAACCAAATTGGAAAGTGATGTGGAGATTTACAGCAATAATTGGCTTCTGAATGCTGGATATTGTGTTGAGCATCCAGCTACAGGCGGTACTGAAGACCCCAGCCACATTCCTGGAGGCTACACTTTGGATGCCTAAGCAAGGGAGTAGGTGAGCAGAACAGGCACTCTCCCTGGGCAGGCTGGCTCATCACTCCCTGAGAAGGAGTGAATGAAGGGGTGGAACAGGGCCAGCAAGATCCTGTCTCCTGGAAACCACAGGAGTAGAGACTGCCTCTTAGGCACCTCAACTTTGAAATATCAAAAATGGAATCCTTGCTTCTAATCTTCAAACCTGCTCCTCTTTTGGTTTTTCCTTCCCATTCTCATAAGTTCTCAAGCCAAAGTCTTGTACTTTTTATAATTGCCATCTCCCACCACCACAACCGACATCTAGCTCATCAGGAAGTCCTGTTGTTTCTCCCTTCAAAAATATACCCCGATTCGGCCCACCCTTCTTCATTGTAACCACCATCATCCAAGTCAGGCTTTGGTTACCTGATATGTCAGTTAGACATGACACCCACGTGTGAGTAACAGAAAATTCTGCCAAACGGCATCTGAGACAAGTAGAAGATTTTTCTCTTGGGACACAGTAAAATCCAGATGTGGGGTTTGCTGGCACTGGTCCAGTGGTTCAAGGCTGCCGGGGCTGAGCTCTCTCTGGTGCTGTTCACTTTACCTGGATAGTTGTTTATGATGGCTGCTGCTGCTTCACTTGCCATCACATCTTCTTTTTCCAGGCTGAAATCACGTAAGGAAAGAGGAAGAAAGACACATGAAGGAGTTGCATCATTATAGCAAGAAAGCAAAACTTGCCCAAAAATCCATTCCCAGCTAACTTCCACGTAGGTCTCATTAGGCAGAATTATTATACCTGGCCATGCCTAACTACAAAGAATGTGAGAAATACAATTTTTACTGGGCCTACCGCTCTTCAGAGTAAAATTGGAGTTCTCATAATAAGGCAGGAGGGGAGAATGGCTACTAGGAAGAATTTTGCAGTTTTTGTCATACAGAGTGCCTCCCTTTCTACTTCTACTCTAGTTTGATTTATTTTCACATTCCATCTGATACAAATTAGATCACGTCTTCCCCACTAAACCCTTTGAGTAGCTCCCCATTGCATTTAGAGAATATTCACTGTCCCTAGCCGACAGAGCTCTCTGTGCCCACCTCTTTACCTTCAGTTATCCTCAGACTCACCATGCATCATCCCCATTGACCTCTCTCCCCCTGAGCCCATCAAAACCACCTTCCACCATTCGGTCTTTACACATTCTGTTCCCTCTGCCTGGGGTGCCCTTTCCCATACTGTGTGTGCTTGACGTCTTCTTATCCTGTAGGTCTTGGATGAGGGGCCACCCCTTCAGAGAGGTCTTTCTGGTCCACCCTCTTCTAGTAGATCTGCCATCGCTGCATTTTATTTTATTTTATTTTATTTTTTTGAGATGGCGTCTCACTCTGTCACCCAGGCTGGAGTACAGCGGCACAATCTCGGCTCACTGCAACCTCTGCCTCCCGGGTTCAAATGATTCTCCTGCCTCAGCCTCCCGAGTAGCTAGGACTACAGGCATGTGCCACCATGCATGGCTAATTTTTTGTATTTTTAGTAGAGATGGGGTTTTACCATGTTTGCCAGGATGGTCTCGATCTCCTGACCTCGTGATTCGCCTGCCTTGGCCTCCCAAAGTGCTGGGATTACAGGCGTAAGCCACCGCGCCCCGCCCCCTGCATCTTTATTAGGGTCCCTTGTAACACTTATCCAAATGAGTAGTGATTTCATGATATGTCTGCTTTTAGTTATTATAGCAGGCATCACAAAGGAAGAGACATGTCTTTTTTAGTCATCAATATATATCAAGCCCTATAACATAGAAATATGCAAGAAATATTGGGTGAATGAGTGAGTGAATGAATGAGTAAATCAGATGACAGGCAGGAGGGAACCCTGAAACCGTGAGTTCAGAAATTTCTGGTGACCTCATTGAGTAGTTTGGCATTGATGTTAGCATCATCTGCAGGAAACGAGGTTTCAACTTGCATGTGTAATGAAGCAAATCAGAGAAAAAGCTCAACAGCTATACTTTTCATTGGAAATTGCCACACTTTACCAAATTCTTGGTCAGAGGCTAGGAAATATCAGGAGAGTTGGGGTGAAAGAATCATCAAAAATTTATGTTGTAGTATTCCCAATTGTAACCATCCAACAGGCTCTGTATTTACCATCTACCTGTTACTATTTGGGAGTCCCCCTTAGCCCTGTAATTTGGTTCTGAGAAGTATTTCAGCAGTTGGCAGATAACAGCCAAGACTGAAAATCCTACAGTGCTGACCAGGGCGTACACACCCCAGCCATGGAGACTCTGAGGAGCCTTCATGTGAATCTTTGACAGCCAAGATCTTTCAGGATGACTTGAAGATGGGGGATACCTTAAATGTGAGCCTGGGCTAGAATTAAGCCTGTGAGGCAGAACCGAACGATTGCATATCTCATTGAGCAACCTCAGAACTTTCCATTTTCTTCTATGTGCTTTTACAAAAAGGACTGCCAAAAGGAACCTAATCTGTGAAAAGATTAGCAGTAACCTGACTAACCTGGTAGGTACATACACATCTCTTCATCCTTTAATCCGAACGCATCTCCTTTCCTGTCCCAAGTTTCCCTCTCTCTGGTGAAGCTATATTTGTGTTTCAACTGCACTTCCTGTTTCCACAGCTCTCTTCAGTGTGGTAAGGTGTGTTTGGTGTCAGGACTTTGGGGATGCTGGTAAAACAATAACTGCCCAAGTCCTCAGTGACTGACACACTTGCTGCATTTTCCGAAAGCAGAACCAGTCACACCCCATTTGTCTGCATTAATATTCCTGGCAAATACCACAGGAACTACATTTTGGCTTCTTCCCTTAGAACGAGATTAGAATTGTTAAGCATGAGTATTCAGGAATTGCACCTCAGTTTTCCTTTTTCCAGGTGGCTGGAAATCTCCTGGTTATTCCATAGCAGCCCCGACTGCTCCCTCCCACATAAGGGATCTCCTCAGAGTCAATGCCAAAAGATCTTCCCAGTGTCAGTGCCGTCCTTCATGGCATTCCATGGTAGCCTGTTCACTAAACAGCCAAGCTGGTCTTGATCTCCTGACTTCGTGGGACAGGAGGGGAATGTTGGGAAATTGTTGTGAGGTGGTTTGGAAGCA